GGGACGGGTCTGTCACTGTATAACACTGGGATACAGTACCGGTGGGGGACAGGTCTGTCCCTGTATAACACTGGGGTACAGTACCGGTGGGGACGGGTCTGTCACTGTATAACACTGGGGTACAGTACCGGTGGGGACGGGTCTGTCACTGTATAACACTGGGGTACAGTACCGGTGGGGGACAGGTCTGTCCCTGAATAACACTGGGGTACAGTACCGGTGGGGACAGGTCTATTGCTGTGTAACACTGGGGTACAGTACCGGTGGGGACAGGTCTGTCTCTGTATAACACTGGGGTACAGTACCGGTGGGGGACAGGTCTGTCTCTGTATAACACTGGGGTGCAGTACTAGTGGGGACAGGTCTATTGCTGTGTAACACTGGGGTGCAGTACTGGTGGGGTCAGGTCTATTGCTGTGTAACACTGGGGTACAGTGCCGGTGGGGACAGGTCTGTCACTGTATAACACTGGGGTACAGTGCCGGTGGGGGATAGGCCTGTCACTGTATAACACTGGGGTACAGTACCGGGGTACGGTACCGGTGGGGACAGGTCTGACCCTATGTAATACCTGTTGTGGGGGGGGTTATGATGTGTAGCTGCAGAGGTGTGGATGTTGGGTTGTGGAATCGGCTGACCGTGGGTTTATGTAGCAGAGGGGGGAGTTGCAGTCAATGGTTTGGAGTGTTTTGTATAACAGAGGAGGTGGGCTCTGTCTTATCATGGGAGGAGCAGTGGTCTGGGTCTGTGACTGGGGAGTCTGGCGTCAGCCATTTCTCGACCCGTTCCCGTTAATCTCTGTTGGGGAGTTGCGTTTGACTGCATTTGGCGTCTTCTCGTCCTGCATCCTCCTGCTTTAAATCTCCCTCTTTTGTCTGTCTCCTCGCAGGACCTCCTCTGAGTGATCGCCACCGTCCGATGAGAACCCAGCGCTGCCCTGCTTTTGTTCGTCGCCGAGAGGATCCGCAGGCGGAGGATGGCCAAGTGAGCTTGCCAGTGCCTCGTGACCCTCCCTCCGTCAGCAGGACTCAACTGTGGGGAGCACCTGAGAGCGAGCGAGAGACAGACAGAAAGAGACGGAGGAGAAGAAGAAGAGGAAGAGGAAGAGCCGAGACACGCAAAGAGAGAACGCTGTGCCAGAATGGCCGACCCCATCATGGATCTGTTTGACGACCCCGGCCTGTTTGCCGAGGGCTTGGAGTCGCTGACGGATGGCTCCATTGCTGACCACCTGGACCTGGGCGATGGCTTCGAGCCCCTGGAGCCTGCATCCGAGCTCAGCAAGGTTCACCCGTTCGACGGGCTGCCTCCGTTTCCCACCCCAGCCACTGCTGCCCAGGATGGAGGCCAGGCTGAGCAGCACCAACCCCACACCCCCTATGCCATCTTCTCTGCCCTCAAATCACCCGGCCAGAGCCCCCTGTGGGGGCAGGCCGAGGGCGGGGGAGACGCTGCTGGAGGAGGAGGAGGAGTGGGGGGAGGAGTCGGCCTGTCTCCTGCCCCTCCAGCCACTCATGAACCTGAGTATTTGGCTCACCACGACTACGCTCTGCAGCAGGCTGAGCGCCAACCTCCCGAACCAGCCTCTGTGCCCGCTTCCGACCCCCCTCCTGCGCTTGACCCCTTCGGCAAGGACCAGGGGGCACTGAGCCAGGGGAACCCCTTCATGGGGGCACAGGCCTGCCCCCCAGCACCTGCAGCGGAGGTCCCGGACCCACTCCGGGCACCTTCCTCCGATTCGACGCCCCCATCCTCCTCCTCGTCCTCCTCCTCTTCGTCCTCCAGCACCGTCACCACCTCCCAGTACAGCGTCCGCTACTCCCTGCCCGGCCAGACCATTCCCAACGGAGAGGTGGTCGTTCCAGCCACGGCTGTGCTGGCTAGCTCCCAGGGTGTCTCCTACAGCACCGCCGCTCCCGTTCCCACTCCAGCCAATGGATCAGCTGGAGCACCTCCCCTCAGCCCGCTGGTGCTCCAACCGGTAGCAGCGCAGCCGGGGCACGGGGGCCTGACTACCGCAACGCTGTCTGCTGCTGTGAAACCCAATGTGACCATTGCACCGTCGCCAGCCGCACAGGTAAGGGCTGGGCTGGGGGAGCTCTCCCTCTCTCTCGCTCTCGCCCGTTCGCTCCCCCTCTCTCGCTCTTGCTGTCTCATGTGCCCTGTGTCTGGAGTGCTCGAACTCAGCTCCGTGTGTGCACTCTGTTGGGGGTCACCAGGAGGGGGAAGGGTTCTGAAACGGGAAGGTGCCCCCAGAAAATGTTCACCCCTCAGCAGAGAGAGAGAAATGGTGCACATTTTTGGGTCTGCTGCTTTTTGTCATTTACAGAAATTACTTGGATGTGAACGTAGGAGGGATAGTTAGTGAGTTTGCAGATGGCACCAAAATTGGAGCGGTAGTGGGCAGTGAAGAAGGTTACATCAGAGTACAACAGGACCTTGATCAGATGGGCCAATGGGCCAAGGAGTGGCAGATGGGGTTTAATTTAGATAAATGTGAGGTGCTGCATTTTGGAAATGCACATCGAGGCAGGACTTACACACCTTAATGGTAAGGCCCTGGGGAGTGTCGCTGAATACAGAGGCCTTGGGGTGCAGGTACATAGCTCCTTGAAAGTGGAGTCGCAGGTAGAGAGGGCGGTGAAGAAGGTGTTTGGTACGCTTGCCTTTATTGGTCAGTGCGTTGAGTGTAGGAGTTGGGAGGGTCACGTTGCAGCTGTACAGGACATTGGTTAGGGCCACTTTTGAAATACTGTGTTTAATTCTGGCCTCCCTGTTATAGGAAGGATGTTGTGGAACTTGAAAGGGTTCAGAAACGATTTACAAGGATGTTGGAGGGTTTGAGCTGCAGGGAGAGGCTGAATAGGCTGGGGCTATTTTCTCTGGAGCATGACAGACTGAGGGGTGACCTTCTAGAGGTTTATAAAATCATGAGGGGCATGGATGGGGTAAATAGACAAGGTCATTTTCCCCCCAGGGTAGGGGAGTCCAAAACAGGAGGGAATAGGTTTAAAGTGAGAGGGGGAGAGATTTAAGAGATCTGAGGGGTAACTTTTGGAGCAGAGGGTGGTGCATGTATGGAACGAGCTGCCAGAGGAAGTGGATGGAGGCTGGTACAGTTACAGCATTTAAAAGGCATCTGGATGGGGACATGGATAGAGAGGGTTTAGAGGGATATGGGCCAAATGCTGGCAAATGGGACCAGATTAATTTAGAATATCTGTGTCAGCACGGATGGGTTGGGCTGAAGGGCCTGTTTCTGTGCTGTATGACTCTGTGCCTCTAAGTATAATGGAGTAATAGAACAGAATGAAGAATATAATGTTACTGCTACAGAGAAGGCGCAGAAAAAGATCAACTGTAATATGTGAGAGGCTCGTTCATAAGTCTGTTAACAGCAGGGAAGAAGCAGTTCCTGAATCTGTTGGTACGTGTTTTCAAACTTCTGTGTCGTCTGCCCAATGAAAGAGGGTGGGAGAGGTGTTTGATTATGTTGACTGCTTTCCCGAGGCAGTAGGAAGTGTATGGTTTGAGTGAAGGAATGGGCTGCGTTCGCGACACTCTGTAATTTCTTGTGGTCTTCGGCCGAGCAGTTGCCGTGCCGAGCTGTGATGCATCTGGAGAAGGTGCTTTCTACGGTACGTGAATAAAAATTGGTAAGAGACTTGCGCTCGTGCCAAATTTCCTTAGCTCCCTGAGGTGTGGCAGCGTCCTTAATGCGCACGCTGGAGATGAACTGAAATGATTTAACTTGGAGGGGGGGGGGGGGGGGGGGGGGGCACTTTTGGAATTTTCCGCCACAGAGCACCATGGAAGCTCAGCCTTTGAGACTGTTCAAGGGAGAGGTTGGTGGATTTCTGATTGCCAGTGGGGGTTTATGGGGATGGGGTGTGTAAGAGCCAGTGAAGTGTTCGATCAGCCTTGATGGAGAGAATGACGAGGCGGGGTTCCAAGGCCGAATGGCCTCCTCCTGTTTCCGTCTTTCCAGTGCCATTAGGGAGACTGTTCCAGGAACTTGCCACAGCGGTGGCACTGAAGGGGTGGGAGGGGGTTGCATCGGGAGTAAACGTACGTCCAACGGGTAGCCACTCAAGTTGGCAGGATGTGAACCCCCACACAGGCCTGTGTTCGTGCCTGAATTTTCCATCAACTTTGTCTGTCAACAAATTGGATCCCGGCACAGCAAATTATCGATCCAGACTTGCTGATGTCAAGGTAGGTAGTGCAGATATCAGCATAACATTACAAAGGGATGTGGGTAGGCCAGGTGCGCAGGTAAAGCTGTGCCCAATCGGTGTAAGCGAGTGTGAGGTTACTCGCTTTGGTACGGAGAAAGGATAGGTCAGACGTTCAATACGGTGGGCGTCTGAGAGGGGGCGGGGGGTGGGGCGTGTTCAGGCATGTAGATCTTTAAAATGTCACACACAAATAATCACGAAAGCCCATGGAATGCTGGCCTTTATACGTGGAGGACTGGAGTGTAAGGGTGCAAAGGTTGTGCAGAACCCTGGTTAGAGCCCACCGTGAGCACTCCTTCAGAAGGAGAGATGACCCTTGGACGCAGTACAGTGTAGGCCTTTAATACCTGGACTTTCAGGGGTGAAGCTGTGAGGAGAGATTATTACGAAAGAGGCCTTTTCTCCCCAGAAATTAGAAGATTAAGGAGTGATCTGAGTGAAGTCTGTGAAGCTATTTACCACCCTGTCTTGTCCTGTTTCGGGATAAACTATTCCCATTGGTCGGTGATTGTGGAGTGAGAGGCATAGACTGAGAATTGGGGCCAGACCGTTCAGGAGAGATGTTTGGAAGCATTTCTACACACAAAGGGTGGGAGAGGTATGGAACTCTCTCCCACAAACGGCAGTGGATGCTGGATCAGTTATTAATTTGAAATCTGAGATTAAGATGAAGATATTTAATGGACGTAGGTTGAAGGCAAGTATGTGGAGTTAGGGCGTATATCAGCCGTGATCTCATTGGGGGGCTGAATTTGTACATTCAAAGTCAGGATGGTGAATGGCTCAAAGGGGAACCTACAGGGGGTGTTGTTCCCCATGTGTCTGCTGCTTGTGTCCTTGGAGACGGTCTCCCCACCCCATCGAGGACTCCCTGGACAGGGACGGCACACGGTTAGATACAGCATAAAGCTCCCTGTATCCTGTAACCCCAGCGCCTCTCCTCTCTCCACAGGGGGACCCGAAGCGGATTACTCTGGTCCTGCAGCAGCCGGCAGGATCGAACCAGTCCAGCCCGCGCCACGTGATGATGAGGACCCTCCCGGGCAAGATCCTGATCCAGGGGCAGCAGATCACGGCGCTGGCTCACGGCCAGGGGGCAAAGGGGCTGCCGGGCCAGGCTGGCAAAGTGGTAACCATCCAACTGCAGCTGCAGAGCCCCCAGCAGAAGCTGCAGCCGTGCCAGATGATCCTGCAACAGCAGCCAGTGACGGTGGCTGCTAGCCAACGGCCCCCGGCCCAGCAACAAGCCCAGGGCCAGGGCCAGGCCCAGCAGCTCCAAGCAGTACCAGGTCAGGTTGTCGCACAGGCCCAGGCAATC